TAGAAACCCCCCATCCATAACTAAATGCATACTGGTTTGGCGGCTATGATAATTAAACGAATAGAATAAAATGTATTCAATCAAGCATGAGAAAAAAAAATTAAAAACAGCTTGTAAATAAAAGGCTGCATTTCTGGTGATTTAACACAGAGGGGCGGTAGTGAATTTCCGGCCTAGTGCGTCCGCTTTTAGAGTACCACAGAAGGTTTGCTCGCTGACGTCACTCACGCCAACTTGAAGTTAGTTAGCACAAAGTAGCTGGCGGAGGGGTTGGAGAGTATCACGAGCGTGGTGCCTTTTGTTGCTTTTCCCTTTAAGGTAACTACATTGGAGCTGCCTACGACAGTGTGCGCGACTTTATAGTTCGTGCGTGGGAGACAAAATGTGCTCTTGAAGTGACACACGTCACGTTGGGTAACACGTTACGAGAGTACTGCGCTAATAAGGCTAACTGAGCTACATGTGCTAACTAGGCTAACGCGTCGCTGACGTCAAACAGCTTCATGAGCAAAAGTGGCACTTGTCCGGCCTCACGTCGCATAACTTACCAGTTGAACATCCATCCATCTTCTAATCAACTTGTCACGAGGGCTGCGGGTGTGCTGGAACCTATCCCAGCTGTCATCGGGCAGTAGGCGGGGGACACCTTGAAGTAGTTGCCAGCCAATCGCAGGGCACACATCGACGAACAACCATGAGCACTCACTGTCACGCCGAGTGACAATTTAGTGTTCCGTTAATGTGGGAGGAAACCGGAGTACCTGGAAAACCGAGAAAACCCCCCGCAGGCACGGGGAGAGCATGCAAACTCCACACAGGAAGGCCGTAGCCGGAATCGAACCCTGCACCTCTGCACAGTGAGGCAGACGAACAAACCAGTCACCGTGCCGCCCCAGTTGAACGTGTTCATATAAAAGATGAATAATATCATCTTTTACAATCTTTCTAGTTGAGTGACTTGTAGTCCTGTTCAGCTTTTTATTGTTTTCAGAGCAACAGGCGGGCAGTTACCAGCCATGTCCAAAGCGAGTCAAATATGTTACCATGGTAACATCTCTGGCCTCTGTTGCCAACGTTAAACGTAAAAAAAAATTGCTGCTCCCCTTTAATAATTTTCGGGCAGTTCCACATATGGCATGACGGCAGGATTTCTCTCAAAGTACAGGTAATCATTAAATTTTGTGATAAACTTAAGTGCAAATGTGCGATTGTGTCTTGTCAATCAGACAATTACATTTAAACCCAACTGTCCTTTAATTATTAACGTTGAAGAAATACACAAGAGTGCAGTCATATTGCAAAAGGAAATCCTCCCAAAAATAGAAATAATACATTCCAGAGTCAAGCTTGCCATCATGAAACCTTCAACTGTTCATGCAGTTTTATTGCAGTTTTATGACACACGTTTAAGAGTCATACAAATGTAAAAATTTGTCAAAACTGTGAAACACTCATGAGAGTTATATCACGCTTTCTCATCAACAGGAGGCAATAAACATCGGTGCCAATGAACCAACCAGACAAATGTGTATGATCAGAAACATAATGTTAAGATTTAAGAGCCACACGATTATGAGTGCAAAAACACCCCCACGTCATAAATGTAAAACAATTCAATGAAAAACAAAAAGTAAGGCACTGAGTGAACAGACGACCGCCTTTATTCTTTTCTAGCAACTCTTTTTGAGACGACTTGTTCTTCAAATTGTTTTTCTTCCTGGCTAGTGTTGAAAGATGCGGTGCGGGGAGCATGTGTCGCACGCGTTCCAGGCCCCGGTGGACGTCCACGCCAGCGCCGACGGCCAGGTTTACATGTTCAAGAGGAAAGCCACCGGCACAGCTGTGTCATCGGACGAGGAGGAAGAGGACGAGTTGGAGGAGCTGGGCCTGACGGAAATGAGACCTCGGGCGTTCCAAGAGTTGGAGCAGGACAGGCTGGGGAGTTTTCACCTGCTGGAACGTGACGTGGTGGACGGCGACAATCTCAATAAGCTGGCCTTGCAGTACGGATGCAAGGTAGGGGAGTGATACAGGGCGACAGCCAGCAGATATTTTTAGAATCAAATATTCTGCCGATCATCCCACCGATTTAATCAAAATGAAATTTGGTTTTGCCTGTTCAAACAATAATGTGCATGTGAGGTGCGGTCATTATTTTTGTCCATTTGGGGTCGCCATTCTCACATACTCTACTTGTAGTATCTGTGGCTGCGAAAGTGTTGGCTTGAAATAAGGGAAGGGCGATATAAATGCTGGCAGCGTGCTTAATTTTTCCATCAGTGCGACTGAGGGCCCACATAGGACCACATACTTACCGACCAGTTGTATGAAAAAAAAATGCAATTTTAGATAAGGACAAAATATGTACATGTGTGCAAAATACATGCTTTTAATGTATTACTCCCTTGCGTAAAAATTACCATTCAAGGATGTCACAAAACTGCTGAATAGCAATCCCAATTTTTAGAGCAGGAACTCATTTTGTGCATTTTTCGCAAAAACTGATAATTTGAATATTACTGAGGTTCTATGTCCTGCACATTATTCCAAATCAGCAAAAATTATTAGGACTACTCATGTTGTGGTTTAGGGCAGTATAAGAAATTGTCGAAAGGCGAGTCAGCTACATCTGCCATCTAGTGGTAAATAATGATAAGACAACTTAAAACTACAGTTCACGTGAATTTGCATATTAAGAGATTTTTCTGTTTTTTTTTTTTTTTTTTTTTTAACTTCAATCAACTTTTAAACTTCAACCAGCTTAAATTTGGCACTTCTTTCTTCAAACAGGTGGCAGACATAAAGCGCGTGAACAACCTCATACAGGAGCAGGATTTATTTGCACTGAAAACCATCAAAATTCCCGTTCCCAAGCACAGCCTTTTAACAGAATCGGACGCCAGCCCGAGTGACTCTTTCAAAGAAACGCCAGTCAAGCCGCAGCCAAATAGACACCAGGTGACGGACTTCCTCATCGAAGTGGACAACGACACGGAGAAGCTGATCCCGAACTCGGATGACTTTGACATGGATCTGTTGGATGGCGGTTCCAAAAGGCCCGTCGTCAAAGGACAGAAGGGTCAGGGGGCGGACTGGGGCATCCAGTGGTGGAACGCCGTGGTGGCCATGCTACTCATCGGCATCGTCCTGCCCTTGTTTTACGTCATTTACTTCAAAACTCAACACGGCGGCGAAGCCTCACCAGCAGGTGGCAGCGTCACCTCCTCCATCGCGTCTAACAGGACTGAGACCGGCACCTTTGGTACTGGTGCACCCGAACCAGGATAGAACGCGCGCCGTTTGGATTTCGTGAAGCTGAATATCTTGATCACGTGCAATACCCGCCTTGTTGTTGTTGGGTTTTTTTTTTTTTTTTTTTTTTTTTTTTTTTAAGTCGGCCTTCAACAACCCGTTGCACTCATGTCAACTTAAATTCATCACCCAACAAAAGTTTTCCTCTTAACTGTTACTTGTGCGATTTTATGGTAATTATTTAGTATTATCAAACCTCATTCAATGCACACTGAATTATCGTAGCTAATTAAAAACACGTCTCCAGCGACAGCGTTCTCCCCCACATTGGCAGTTCACTATTGAGTTTTATCTCCGTGCATTTTTGTTTCTGTGGAACCTTCCTTTATTTGCTGAGACTTCTTCACGGTTTTTGTGCGCTTTCCGATGACAGAGGTTTCCATAGGATGGCAGCAAACACTTGGACAATCGAAAAGTAATGCTGTGGCGCCATCTTTTGCCATCTTCGTGCCAAGGAACCATGTTGAAATAAGGGGAATTCAAAGCACCGTGTTGTAGAAAAGTAGTGCCTCGGTGCCATCCGTTAAGGTGGCTGTGGCTCAGGTGGTTGAGCACATCGCCCAATGACCAAAGGGTCAGCGGTCGGTTTCCCGTCTCTGACTGCCTGCTGTTGAAGTGTCCTTGGGCAAGAGACTGAACCCTAATTTGCCCCCAGGTCGATATTAGAATTGAGAGACTGTAAGACCTAAATGCCTTACCTGGTTAAACAACGAGGCATCAAGTATTAGTGTAGTATCACTGTAATCCACATGCACCAGATAGCCCCCAAAGGACCACATGAGTAGTCTAAAAATAGCTCGCCGTTATAATTTCCTAGGAATGTTGAACAATTTGGTGAATAGTGAACCATGGATATGTGGAAAAGTTCCTGTGCCTTGACCGTGTTCTAGTCAGTTCTAGTCAGAGACAGCTGTGTGTCTCGGATTGTATGTAATGAGTCTGTGCGCTGCTGTATTTGAAGCTAATTTATGTTTTGTGTGTGTGAGATTATCTATTCATTTTTGCATTGGTCACCGAGGCTGGATTCACACGACGGGTTCCGAGTGACCGTTTCTGATTTTATCCCCCCCCCCCCCAAATCAATATTTCATGTGGACTGTATCACTTATGCCAGGGGTGTCAAACTCATTTTTGTCGCGGGCCACATTGTAGTTACGATTTCCCTTGGAGGGCCGTTATGAATTTTGGGAAACCATCTAAATGTTTAATCCCCTCCACATCTTACATACACAGCGCATTGATGATTCACTCATTTTAAAATCAGAAGTCAAGAATAATGACTGTTTTTGTGGATTACATAGGACAATTTGAAATTCTGGTTCAGACTTTAGCAAGCATCATGGAACTTGACATGCGTGATTTGCTTTCGCGGACCACATAAAATGATGTGGCGGGCCAGATCTGGCCCCCGGGCCTCGACTTTGACACCTGTGACTTATGCAATGAAATAATGCGGAACTCACATTAGCAGATACCTGAAACGTAGCAGCGTTTGTTTTTTTTTTTAATAACACACAATTGAAAGAGGCTTATTCCGCGCCGAAGTGTTTTGATCGACATTGGCGTGGCTCCTATCCCAAATGAGTCACTTGACACACACAGTGTAAATCCAGCCTTGTTGCTCGTGCCGAGTGGACCCGAACGGTGTGCCAAACGTGTGAACTGTGTTTCCAAAAGCACAAGGTAGTGCAATAATGGATGTGTTTCTGCATTTTAGGTTGTAACTTGAACCAATGTGGACATTATGTGTTAAATGATCACCCAAGGGTGCCTTCAACCTCTTCTGTTAAATGCAAATTCTGAAATGTGCACCTTTTTTGGACATTGTAAGACTTCAGGGAGTTTTGACTACATTGTAACAGATTAGCGTCAAACATAGATAAATGACAATTTTGGGGGTGATTTTCAAACTGGAGTAAATCTTGACAGTGACTAATGAGTCTTTTTTTTTTCCTTCTGAGTGTCAAGTCATCACAAGAAAGCAAGCCACACTTGCAAATGGTCCTTTTGCTCTCTGAGCGAAAGCATGAGCTAAGCTAAAACGCCTGATCAGTTCAAGTCGCGCAAAAAATCAATTTCTTGACACTATTTGCAATGTGACCAACTAGTTGAAGGAAATGGATTAATTACCGGGTGGCAAGGTTTCTTGATTCCAGAGATGCAGTCTTCCAGACAATCGTCCAACTGGTAAACCAACAACGGATTCAACCAAATCTGATTTTAGCAAAGGTGACGGGGTTGTACCATGTTTGGGGAAAGCATAGGTGCCTTTTTTTACATGCTACAAGGATCTAAATTTATGATGACATTATATAACTGGTTTAACATCCCTTTTTCAACATCGAAAATAACTGTTACACATGATTATGATTATTTATCGGATTTTATCGACTTGTGATTTGTCTGAGGGCAAGGCTCTTCAATCCTTGTTGCACCAGGCCAGCTATGAGTTCCACTTATTTTACAGCAAAACTTGTTTTCCAGACAATAAGATCACAACAGGGTTTTTTCCTATTTCAAATAACCACTTGACAGTTTGAATGTCTCAAAAGTGTATTTTTTTTTTTTTTATTGCAAGTAAACATGCACTCCTTCAACAAAGGGGGTGGGGGGGGATCAGACTCATTTCAATGTTTCTCAATGTCAGTACGTGCCACTTCTTGTACTCATTAAGTAAAACAAGACAATTCCGTTCTGATCTCGTGTAAAACACACCGTATCATCCTGGTCACACGAGTTGTGTTTCGGGTTTCCTCTTTGGGAAAAACAGAAAAATCTCAACCCGTGCAGTTCTTTTTGTTGTCGGGTTCTAGTTTGTGATGTTCACGTCCGCTTGGCGGCCGGAAAAGCGCAACTTGGTGCCAGGCTGGTGGCCCTGAGGCTCGGGGAAGATGCTCCTGAAGGTCAAGTTAATGCGGGGGCCGCGGTCATGGTATTCCTTCGCCACCTGGTGCTGAGGAGCACAAGAGGCGGCCCTCAAAATCAACCGAGTGAGGCGCGGATCAATCAGGAGCAGCCAACTGACTTCCGATGGATTTTACCCACTGCGTAGCCTTTCAAACGAACGAGGCTCTTGATCATTCCTGACCTTGAAGACGATGTTTGTGACTTGCGGTGTGTAAAGATGAACATTCTCAGTGTGTGTGTGTGTGTTTGCATTTATCTATGTTGGGAGGAATTGGTGGAGCCTACCTGCCAGTCATCCTGCGTGGCTCCTTCCATCAAAAGCAGAGCGCCGTGACCCAGAGGAACTTTAATACGCTCCGCATAAGTGTAGTCACCATTTTCTTCCTGTGACAAAAAAATATCATGCGTCTCAACAAATTGTGTTCGTACACCGACACAAATTCACACAGGATGTGATTTGAAAATCCCAGATTAGCCCAATAAATCCCAAAACTGTTGAAACATTGACACTGTAGAACAGAAACAAGATTATACGCAATTGTTTTTTTGTTTTTTTTTTCTCCAAAAACTATTCAAAAACAAATGTGTGTGCTGCGTGCACGTGTGTGACTGACCGGAGGCGGCTTCTTGCGTAGGCTGAACACCCTGCTGTCACCCAAACTAAGCGAGGCGATGACGGGCTGCGGGCCCAGCGAGGCCTCGTCGTCGCTGTGCCAGCCGATGCTGTCGTGTCCGTCTCGGTACAGGTTGCACAGCAGCGAGTTGAGGCGCTCGCCGCCGCCACCGCCGCTTGCCCGGGGGGGGGGGGGGGGGGGGGGGGGGGGGCAGCAGGATAGTGTGACAAAGCAAGGTGTCAAATATGTTGAAGTGCATTGAGAAATACACACAGGTGGCACTTTGCCGCCATCTTGTGGTAGTTATATGGTGAAAGCGGTGTTGGTTTATGTATTCCAGATTTTTACACCTTTGTATTGGCGGCCATGGTGGAACGAGCGTAAGTGTAGGGTAACTCTCCAAACCAGCACGTCAGCCTTGGCTCTTGAGGGGAGGCACAATTAGCCTTTGCAACATAATTTCAGGCACAAAATCAGGCACGTAGGAGCCCCATGAAAGGATGCATGAAGAATAAGAGCATTCATTTCTGCTCAGAAAGTTGACATACACACACTGCCAGAATTTGTGAAATATGAGCAATTTGGGGCATAATTACGGCCATCTCATTTTTTTTTCTTGCTTGTGATATTCTAAAATTCCTCATAGTTGAATTTTATTGGAAGAGTGAAAAGTCCAGATATTATTTTCAAGTCAAAGTTTATAATCGAGTAAAGTCACATTTTAAGTCAATTTAAAAAAATAATAACAAATCCCCCCCCCCCCCCCCCCCCCACACACACACACATTTCCTCTTTTATTCCGGCAAAGTCCTCTTTAGTTATTTATTTATTTTTAAGAGACCGAAATTTTTGAGAAACCTCATCATTTGTTCTTGCAAAAAAAAAAAAAAATGTTCTTTATTCCTGTAAAAATAGGTTGTTTTTTTTTTAACTCCAGTTTATTCATGCTGGGATGTCAGGTTTGTGTGATGATATGTCACAATAATTTTAGATCTCCGGAACTGGCCAAAATCAAAGCTAGGCAAGAGTAATTGTTTTTTTTTTTTGTTTGTTTTTTTATTGGTAGGTTGTATGAATACACATTTTTAAATTATACAATAATAATTTACTGTAAATGATTTTGCATACTGCTAAGTTACACTGGTCCTAATTGTGCAATGTTGCGGTTTATGAAGGCGTTTTGTACATTGAAATGTAAGCGGAACGTGAAAATATGATGCGTTCACTAGATGAGCGTGTGGTCATCATGTTGACTTTTTTATACCCACCTTGTCGGACGTTGGTCTTCTGTGACCAGGGAAGTTCTGCCAGCAGTTTACTGAATATCCAGTCGGCTTCGTCTGCTGGAAGAAAGCCGGGCACCAGTCGCAATCTGACCGCATAAGACAAACACATATCATATTCAAGGTTTAGAGAGTGAACACTCGCAAGGAGCTGCTGTATGCCGCAACTCATGCCCAGACACTCACACGCAGACTAATCGTCCAACCCGACTCAGGCCCCTGAAGACATAATTCACTGGGGCATTCCCCTTAAAGGCACACATCTAACACAAGAACCCTTCAGTGCCTATTAGTTTATTTCTATTACAGTGCCAATTTTCTTTACTAAACATGCAACCCAAAATTATTTGTTTTTTGGTGGGTACACATTATTGACATTTCAATTGATTTCATTGCTTACCTTGACACACCTGAGGGTTCATGGCTGATTTCGTAATCACCCGCTTGGCTGTCGAAAGCAAAATAGAAACAGAAATATATACTAGAAGTAGTATTACACAAAAATTATGAGCCAGTCTACTCAAATCCCACACTTACTCAATTACTTTCTCTGGTGGTACATCTCTAACGGGCTGTGAAGAAGAGAAATACATGTCTTGTTAGTAAATCTTCTGCTTTCAGATTCAGTTTTGTTGGAATTTCTTTTTTTTTTTTCATGCGGTAAAAGACCTTAATGGGCTGGTGGAACTCAAAATTTGCAGATGTCGTCTGCCGATGTATTCCCCAGGATGCGACAGCTGGAGTGGCATTTTGGCTGGGAGAAACTAAACGGCAAATAAAAAGATGACACATAGAAGGCCACAATTTTAAAGTGGGTTTGAGTGAACATAAGGAATTTTAATTTCTAAGTACCTGCTGGCCTCGGTTGTTTGGGCAGCTGTTTAGCCCAGGAACCCTGCACCCTAGCACGCTGGCGTTTATCTGACATCACACCTGTTCAGGGAAAGGTTAGGGTCCTGGGGGGCAGGGGGGGTAATTCAAATTTCTCGAGGTGGTGAATTTTTGGTTACCATTGCCTGTAAGATACAAACATCCAACTTATTTTATCAAATTCATTCAAGTCATGAAATGCTTCAGTATCACGAGTCTATATAGTTTATGAGTTTCTGTTTTGAACTGCGAACTACTGCAACAATTCAAGTTTTCCAATTCTCATATTGAAACGCATCTCTCGATGGCTTGCATGTTCATAGAAACACGAAGATATTTTCACACAAAAACGAAAGTGCCAAGTTGACTAATCCTTAAATCGTAAAATGACTTGCCTGAGAGAACAAGAAAATATAATCATGTGTCGAAAGGAGGTACATTTACTCATAAGGCAGGACGGCCATTACTGATGTGTCACATCAAAATAAACTCTACCCGGAACTAAGATGTAGACTTATAGTGCCGTTTCGTTTCTTAATTTATTTTATCTTTTTTTGAGATGTTTTTACCTCGAACATGATTGTTTTTATCTAAACCCATTTTACAAGCTATTTTGCCTTTTATCTTGTTTAATTGAAATGCATGAGTTTAGAAGCCGTATCTGGAAATGAGAGGTCGAATTTCCGGTTAAAAAAATTCTGTACCGCTCTGTCCGACTGAAGCATATTTTTCTCTCGTGCAAATGTTACAAGTCGGGAATTTATATAAAATCGAAAGGAACTGCCAAAGTGCATAATTTTGCTTTAAACAATTAGATTGTAATGTCCAGTAAAAGCAAAGTTTACGTTTTTTTTTAAATGTATTAGATGACTGTAGTATACAGTACTGTATTTACAAAATTCTTCTGCTAAACGTCCAGTGGAACATTTACCCCAGTTAACATGCTCTTACCCTATGTTTAATAACTTACATTTATATAGCACTTTTTAAAGGACTGAAGTAAAAATCATTGTTTTTCTAACACTTAAATATGTTCCTTGGTTGTTTTTTTTTTTTGTTTTGTTTTGTTTTAAAAATAACAGCAATGTCCATCAACAAGATTCGCTAATTAAATTTCCCTCATATGCAAAAAGGTTGTGGAGCAAAACCAAAAGAGGACGTGTTTTTCTTCATTTGCTGGAGGTCTTGGGAATGAAGAAAAAACGTTTCCACACGTGCGACATACTGTGGAAGGGTCTGCAAACGTGAAAGAAAAGCACCCCAGCTATCAAGCGTGTACTTTTATTAACAAACAGCAGCAAAAATAAGAAGCTACAATCAGAAGTAAACAGTGCATATTCCAATATTACATATAAAGTAGAGAATATAAAGCATTTTAAAAAGATCGTTGGCACCCGAGAGGCACTCATGAGAACATTTCATACACCTAACTCGGCGTGTCACTGCTGAAAAATATATGTGAAGCAGTCAATGTGAAAGGTTTTTATCGTAGAAAATTGTCCATTGCTGGGGAGGCACACCAAATGGGACACAGTGTTGTTCCCATGTAATTCCAGCATCAATGACCATAGAAAGGCATTTCTGTGTAGCTTGTCGAGCCAAACAAAACAAAAAAACAAAACAAAAAACCAGTGATACATTGGTTTGTAACAGCATACCATCAAATGGCGTCGCCATCATAAATAAAGTGTCAAACTTCACTGCAAGCGACTAAACGGGCAGTTTCATACAGTTGTCATCAGAAACACGACTTGGCTCAAACCTAGTCTTAACCCATAAGAGCCCACAGTGACACCAGTGTAACAAACAGTTTGAACTCCCCAGTATCTTTTTTCAAAACTTTTTGTCTGATTTTAACCCATCAAAACTTTTTGGAAAAATGGGTCTGGGCTCTTATGGGTTAAGGCAGATTGTGTGTGTGTGTGTGTGTGTGTGTACGTGTGGTCTTATACAAATATAAAATAAATAATTGTACATATATATATATTTATATACACACACACCATATATAATATAAAAAAGCCCACCACCATTTTCCACTGCTTATAACAGCAGGGTTTAACACACCTCTGTTAATATTTTTTTGTATTTTATTTTTTTTTTCCAGGCAGTAGCATCTAATCTCAAGTAACAATTCAGGTCCTTTTTTTGTGGAGGTTCTTCAGGAAAACACAAACTCACGCACCCTTGTTCTCGAAAGTCACCCCTCTGAAGGGAGCCCTTACATACACACACGCACAGTCTCACACACACGAACACTCAATTAAACACTGCGTTTGGGTCACATTGATGATCTTAGTCCGTCTTCAAGCCGGTTCCGTTCTTCTGCTCGCGCAACTTCCTCCTGTGCAGGTATCCTGTGCGCTGCAGGCGGTTCATTCGTGCTCCGAAGAAGATGACGATGTCGATGGGCACCAGCTTGGTGGTCAACCAACCCTGGTGGATTTTGGGGGGGGGGGGGGGGCAAAAAGGG